TCTAGGGCTAGAGTATCTCTCAAATCCATAATCAAAATCATACAGGAGGTGGGAGGTGAATATTTGGTGGAATTACAGTGCTTGGAGAGGGTCAATGTAGGGGAAGAGGGAGATATTCCACTTGCAGTATAACCACTCATACAGCAGTTCAGTGAGGTGTTCCAGTCACCTCAAGGTTTACCACCAGCTAGAGAACAGGAGCATGCAATCCTTTTAAAGGAGAAGGTGTCACCGATTAGTTTACAACCCTACCGTTACCCTCAAATTCAGAATGATAAGATTGAGAAGTTGATAAGGGAGATGTTGGAAACGGGGATCATCAGACCATGTGTGAGTCATTTATCTAGTCCAGTCTTACTAGTCAAAAAGATATATGGGAGCTGGACAATTTGTGTGGATTACAGAACGTTGAATAAGGAGACTATGTCGGATAAATTCCTCATCCCGATGATCGATGAACTACTAGATAAGTTGTATGGAGCAGTAGTATTTTCCAAGATGGGCTTAAAGTCGGGCTACCATCAAATCAAGATGAAAGACGAGGATATTCAGAAGACGACATTCAGAACGCACGAGGAGAACTACGAGACCGATGTGCCAGGGTATGGATTGAGGGTAGTGCTGATGCAGAATCATAGACCTATATCATACTTCAGTCAAGTGCTGTCAATTAGGGCTAGATTGAAGTCTGTGTATGAGAGAGAGTTGATGGTCATTGTCTTGGCTATTTATAAGTGGAGCTCTTACCTTTTGGGTAGGCATTTCATTGTCCGGACGGATCAAAGGAGCCTGAAGTATCTATTGGAGCAAAGGATGGTGATCGAGGAGCATCATAGATGGTTGTTCAAGCTGTTAGGCTATGATTTTGAGATCAAGTACAGGCTTGGGGTGAAAAATAAGACAGCTGATTCCTTATTCAGATGTATTGGAGAACTTCAGGAGTTGACTGTTTCAGTACCACTGATGGTAGACTGGGGGGCCATCAAGGAAGAAAGCATGCAAAATGAAGAGCTGAGAAAGATCAGGGAGGATTTGATGAGAGATAATAGTAGCCATTCTAGTTACTATATTGAGGGGGGAGAGGTTGTTGTAACAAGAGAGGTTTGTGATGCCGCAAACTTCTATACATATTCCTCACTTATTATAGGAGTTCCACGGCAGTGCAGTGGGAGGTCATTCAGGAGTACATATGACCTATAGAAGACTGGCATCTAAGCTTTACTGGAAGGAAATGTATAAAGATGTTGAGGAGATGGTTGCGAGGTGCGAAATGTGCCAGAGAAACAAATACATGGCAATGGCTCCAGGATGACTACTACAACCCTTAGCACTTCCAAACAGAGTAGGACGAAGTGTCCATGAATTCAATAGACGGCCTACCACGATCAGAAGGATTCCATCATGACGGTGATTAACATACTTAGTAAGTATACACATTTCATCTCGTACGACATCCCTACACCATAGTGACAGTAGCAACAACATTCATCAGGGAGGTGGTTCGACTGCATGGTATTCCTGAGTCGATTGTGCCTGATCGAGACAAAATTTTCCTCAGCCTATTTTGGAGGGAGCTGTTCAAGTTGCAGGACACTATTCTTAAGAGAAGCACAGCCAATCATCCGTAGACAGACCGTCAAATAGTGGTGGTGAACCAAGGCTTGGAGACTTATTTGAGGTCTTTTATTTCTGAAAAGCCACGAATGTGGACTAAATGATTAGCATGGGTCAAGTATTGGTACAATACTTCATACCATTGTACATCTCAGATAACTCTTAAAATATTGTATGGAAGAGACACCCACACTTAGTGCATTTTGGGAGGGAGAGCACACCAGTGTATTCAGTTGAGTAGTATTAAGAGGAAAGGGATAAGGTGTTGGAGGAATTGAATAAACATCTATCCAGGGCACAACAAATCATGAGGAGCAGGCAGATAGACATAGGAGGGACATACAATTTGAGGTTGAGGAGAAAGTATTCTTGAAACTAAAGCCCTACAGGCAGATATCAGTTGCCAACAGGAGAAACGAGAAATTGGATCCGAGGTGCTTTGGTCCCTATAAGATTTTGGACAAGATTGGAGCAGTGGCATATCGTTTGAAGTTACCCACAATTATCATCATACACCCAGTTTGCCATGTATCACAGTTGAGAATAGCTCTAGGGGAGCATGCAGTCTATGAAAATTTCCAAACTACATTGACAGAGGACTTGGAAGTGGTCTTATAACTGCTGGAGCTGGGGGGATTCATATCCGATAAAAAGGGAAACAAAGAAGTGCTTATCAGATGAAGGGACTTTCTCGATTTCCATGCCACTTGGGAGCCATATGAGAGAATGAGGCTCCAGTTTTCTTCTTTTCATCTTGAGGACAAGATGAGTCTTTGAGCGCGAAGTAAGGTTAGGCTGGCCTAAGAGGGGCGGGTTGTACCTATTGAATCGGTCTCTAGTGGACCGATTTTATACTACAACCGTCGGCCCAAGGAAGGGAAAAGGAAGGGGTTGGCTTCTCATATGGGGCCCACACCGTGATTAATAATTGCTTTGGAGGGAAATATTTGAATGAGAGCCTGTTTAAGGATTTTGTATTTCTCCTTTGGCTTTAATTAGTTGCTGATGTTAGAATTAGGGTTTCATCTTGAGTTTGAAATGAAATTTGAGATCTAGGGTTTGTTCCTTTGGGCTCTAGGTTTGGCTAGAGATTTGGAAAGTTATTTCTTCCTCTCGAATTGAAGAAACTTGTATCGCTTGATGTTTTCCTACATCTGCTAGTGGAATTCTTCATTTTCCTCTCAGTTTTCTCCAGATCTCTCAAGAAGGTTGCTGTACCATTGCTATTTTATGCTGTAATCAGTGGTTTTTCTCGCTATTTTCACCAATTATTGTTAGGTTTGCTTGTGAACTCAAGTATTTCCCTTAGGGTTACTTGCGAACTTAAGTACTTCCTATCAAAAGACTGTTGTTGTGTGTTGAAAATTGTTGAATCTAGTGAAAATAAGGGATAAAGGCTGCTTTTGAGTCCTAAATCAGTGGAAAAGCTGAAGGCAAATAAGGGTATTGTATTTGCTGAAAGCAGTAAATGATTGTTGCAGCTAGTGCTAAAATGTTACTGTAGTTGCTGAAAAAAGTAGTAAGGAGAACAAATTCAGTTGGTTGTTGCTAAATTAGAAAAACAGAAAACAAAGGAAGGGAAGTAGGGGAAAGAGGTTTAGGAGTGAAAAGGAAATTTTGGATTGAATGAGGAAGGGCGCAATTGAGGTTTGTATTGAATGAGGATGAGCACAAGTGAGGTATTTTATTAGATGTTTACATTTTCTGTTTGATTTTATTTGAAAGTATGTATAAATGAAGAAATTTATGTTTTAGGTTGCATATAAGAGGAAAGGAGGTCAGGGTACTGTAAGAGAACAAATTTACCCAACTAGCCTAGAGAACAAATTTACCCGACTAGCCTAGATAACAAGGTGAAATAAACAAACTGTGGTATAAGAAACAGTAACATTTTATATAATTGTGACCGCATTTTTATATGATTGCGATAGTATTATTTTCAGTTTCATTATGTATTTCATACAACTCATTTTCATCAAGTATTTATTGCAATATGATTTTTTTATGATTGTTATGAAAATGTGAAGCATATAAAAGGTAAATGAAAAGGCTAAATGCAATAAAGTCATATATGGCAGATAGACCTGCAAGTAAAGATGATAGACATGACTAAATAAGCCTTACGGAAGTTGTACAGAAGATACCCTATACTCTCTCACTTCTAAAAGTTGGGAATTCGGATCCTTCCTTGAATGAGAGAGCAACTTCAATTCTAAATGTTGAAAATGCGAACCCAACCTTTAATTAGAGGGTTATAAGTGTATAAAACCCTATAGTCATTATATAAATTGTCAAACTATTAAAAAGTAATCAAAATAGGAAATGTGAAAAGTTAAATATACGTTGATATTTTGTATGTGCTTATTATACACCCAGATTATTTTTAATTAATTGTAAACATATTTTTTATAGTATGTTTGTGTATTTCATTAAGCTCTAGCTCATTAGCATTGGTTATACTGCAGGAAAGGAAAATGAGTCAGTAGAGCACTAGACAGAAAGGTTGACTGAAGTTTTTGTGTATATATGCTTTAGGTGTACATAGAGATCAAAATACCAGTTGTACAGACACTTTTGAGTATGTAAATATTATTTGAAATTTTAATAAGCTCTATATTTTATTCGATACATTTAGATGTGCTTCCAGTTATGACATATGAAATAAAATCTTCTTAAGGTTTGAAAATTTTGATGTGTTGGGATAGTCTGGATAGGTTATTTTCTACTCACCTGGTCCTGATAGAAGTGTTTTAGGATGGGTGTTAGTAAGAGATAAATTTATTCAGATTCTCCTTCTCTGTTACACTCCATATTTATTGACAGTTTGACTTTGATTTCTCAAAATCACTCATTATAAATTTCTTTCATAGCTAGTTTTATCGGAATGTTTGGTGAACCAACATCACAATAGTAGGATATTTTTTAGTAGTATACAGTATTGTCAAATTTATGCACTAATTTTATTTATATTTCTTTTGAGTTTGGGTGATTTGGGTAGTTTGTTTATGTAGTATTTCTTTCGGTCATTTTCCATTTAATTGTTGTTTCGCTTCTTGATTGCACTACTATATGGACTTTATTAATAAAATAAAATATTAAATATTTTATTTGTCTATTTATATTATTTATAATCAACTTTACTCTTGTAAATACGAAGTATGTTTTCATATCCCTTCATTACATGTGATCGATTTTCGAACCTGATCGACTGACAAGACAAATTTATCTTGGAAACTTGCGCCGGAATAATAATTAAGCATAAGATGCTTAAGCATGACAAAAGAATTCGACAAAAATAAGGTGACTGGTATGGTAGCCTAATGATCTACACGTAATGAAAGATAAAATATTCAATCCACAAACAAGTACGTTTACAAGAAACTTGCCTGTACACGTGGGTTCTGGAAATCATCCATAGCTGATGCCAAAGTTGGGAGCACCCTCTGGTGATATTGAACCTGCAAATCTGGACTCAAATCTGTAGACAGCTGCCTAATAGCATTGATTGCTGCCCATCTTACACGTGGATGAGGATGTTGGAATGAGTTCAAGGCCATTGTCACCACTTGTTCCAGGTTCTTAATCAACACCTACGCATGAAACCAAACAGAATGAAGATTCAAGATATAAGTCTTCCTGATACCATCATTAAATCAAACTAAAAAGAACCAAAACAACCAGTATATCAAGTAAAAAAAGAAAATGCACCTTGGAGCATCCTTCAGCAATCAGGGCCAGAGTAATCAGGGCAGCATGGTGCTTCTGCCAATCTGGCGAGGCAAGATAAACAGGAAACAGCTCAAATGCAACCGGAACAATGGTCGTGCCCCCAATCGCAATTGATAGTCGGTCCAGACATTCCTGGCCAAAGTTGTAGTTGTCTGTCTCCCATGCATCCTCATCATCTTCCTCAGCAGCATGCCAGGTTGATTCATCATCGATGTCAAGTAACATCTTCATAAGAACAGCAAAGAGCCTCCCAATAAACTGCGGAAGCTTTCGCATCATACCAGGGGCTCCATCCCTTGCCTCAGCAAGAGTGATCATAAACTCAATCGCAAGGTGACGGGTGCTCTCGTCAAGGGCATCCGCCTCTGCAATCAGGAGCATGGAGCCAACCAAATGTGGCAACTGACGGCGGAGAAACTTGGGCTCAGCGCCAGCAAGCTCTATAAGGAGCTTAAGGGCCTCCTGTGCTGCAGCCTCGTTTCCTGAGTTGAGAAACTCCGTTAGGGTTAGCATCATGGCGGGAAGGAGGTCCGCGAACTCATCGCGATCCACAGCAGAAGGCAGACACCGGACAAGGTTGATAGAGGCACCAAGAGCAGCAATACGTACATCGGGAGAAGAAATCGGGTGAGATAGCGAATTCAGGAAGACGGAATGGAGGCTGGCGAGATGAGGGAGCAGGGGGTCTCTGGTACACTGCGATAGACGAGAAAAGACGAGTAGGGAGGATTCTTGTAGGTGCGGCGAGCCAGAGGTGACGGCCTGGAACATGAAAGGAAGAAACTCAGGCCATTCGTTCTCCGGGAGAAGAGCAGCCGCAACCTCAGCGACGACATCGCACAGCTGCTTAGTGAGGAACTTAGACTCCTCCCGCTGGACGGCAGCGAGGAGGAGGGACTTGATGGACGCCTTGGTGATAGCGTTAAGTCGTGATAACCCAGCGTCACAGCCTCCGCCGTGAGAGATTAGATGACTGCGGAGGAGCACCGCAGCCATCGTTCGAAGTTGCGGTAAGGAGGAGTCGAGGAGATGGGTGAGCCTGAGAGCAACAACGTCGGGGTTATGGACTCGGCAGAGGCTGAAGAGAGATTCGGCCTTCTTTCGTTTCTTATTATCGGAAGACATGAGGTACGAGATTAGCGTCGCAAATGCCCCAGGTCGCGATCCAAGAACGGCCGCCATCTGCTGCTCCGGATCCATCAATGGCAGATTCAGCAAGCAAGGCTTCTTCGGAGAGACGGGATTCAGATTAAAGTTTTCTCTTCCCGCCAGGCTTACTTGATGATTCGAGGCTTCGCCAGGCGGGCCTTGTGTCTGTTTTTTTGTGGTGTAGGATTCCGGAATGTATGACCGTGAAGAGTGGGAGTTGCGCGCTGGACGGAGCGTCGGAGACAAATCCGCTGCAGGTGGTTCTTAGAAAGGATCAGATCCTCGATCATTGCGAATTTCGTGGATCTCAGCAAGATGAATGGGTACAGTAGGCTTCTTAAGGCGGGGAGGCGGGAAGTTCTCTTGGTTGTTAGGGTGTCCATACAGGTTAATATAACGGGTAAGGGTCAGTCCAACTCATTAATGGCTAATGGATAAATACAACGCGAAAGTTACTTCACTTACTTCACATAATTTATTTGCCAATATTGCCCTTAGCTTTCTCATCCACTAGAAAAATTGTTTGGCTGATATTAAAATTATTTAAATAATATCTAAACGATATAATAATATTATAATTTGAATAATTTTAAGAATTTAGACTCATAATATATTATGGAAGTTTAACTAAATTATATAAATAATAAATATTAGAATTATTTAAATAATATCTAAAAGATATAATCATATAAATGTAATTTACATATTTAAATTTTTGAGTAATCCAAATTTAATTTACATATATGTGTATAATTTAATATAAATTATTACTAATTTATGTTAAATATTTTGATATAATTTATACATGCAAGTAATTCATTCTTTTAATTTTAAATTTAAATAATTTCTAAATAAAATAATAATGGTATAATTATAATGGCAAAATATAAATTTATTACAAAAAAACAAAAATAATAGTTTATATAATTTTAAATTTAAACTAATTTTTAATTTTATTCACATTTAATATAAATTTAATTCACATCTGAATTTAAAAGTTTAATATAAAGTATTAGTAATTTATATTATACACTTATATAAAATTTATATTTATATGTTATATATCAAATTTATTTGAATATTGTATATAATTTCTTTTCAAAAAATCCTCTTGAAACTAATCCATCATGCATACATTGTAGAAATTTCAACTAGTTGTCTAGTTCCACATCACTTTTGAGAATTTTTTTATGTTTTTTACATTGCTTTTCTTACTTTCATGAGTTAAGAGCCCATTGGGGGTTGTGAAATCATTTTGGTATGATTAGTTAATGCCTACTACAAAGTAATTTAAATTTTTGGTTATTATTAACTAAATTATTTTATATTTTAAATTAATTTAATATTTTTAAAATATGATATATTAAATTAAATTATTTAACTACATTATGCAAACATGTAAAAATAAAGAAAATTGCATGTATTGTTAGAATTTTTATTAGGTCTGGTGTCCTGACGTAGCTCTACATTCGGACGCTAATAACATGTCGCCACGTGCTCTTACTTTTTACCACACGGCCCGACGACCCGACCTGGACCGAAACCCGGGATTGCTATGTTCGCGTATTGCTAGGTATTGCTAGGTATTGCTTGACAATAACGAGAAATACCGCTCTGTGAAGACCAATACCGAGCAACACCTAGCAAAATCGGGGTATTGCTCGGTATTGTTTGGTATTGCTAGGTGTTGATCTTCACATAATGATATTTCTCGTTATTGCCGAGCAATATCGAGCAATACCTAGTAATACCCCAGTCTACACAAATCAACTAATACATAGCAACCCCGAGTCCGGTCCGGGTCAGGTCATCGGGCCGCGCGATAAAGAGTAAGAGCATGTGGCACCATTTTACTGGCGTCCGAACGTAGAGCTACGTCATGACACCGGACCTAGAAAAATACCGCTCTGTGAAGACCAATACCGAACAATACCGAGAAATACCTAGCAAAACCGGGGTATCGCTCGGTATTGCTCGATATTGCTAGGTATTGGTCTTCACATAATGATATTTCTCGTTATTGCCGAGCAATATCGAGCAATACCTAGCAATACCCCGGTTTGCACAAATCAACCAATACATAGCAATCCTGGGTCCGATCCGGGTCAGGTCGTCAGGCAGCGCAATAAAGAGTAAAAGCACGTGGCACCATTTTACTAGTGTCCAAACGTAGAGCTACCTCAGGACATCGGACCTAATAAAAAACCCAGAACATTAATTATTAATAATACACAATTTAATTAATGTACATCAATCAAGTTGTACTATTGACCCAGAACTCAATTTGTCAATCGAACTCTTTGAGAGGTTGCAGGGGGCTCTCTTGCTTGGGTTCGGGGGCTTTATCCCCTAAAAATTATTATTTTTTTCATACAACAATACAATGTTGTGGCGCTATACATTCAGATTAATTGAAGACAGAGAGCGAAGTGCCACAGAGCTCCAAATCCCACACTGCAACTCAGGCCGAAGATAAAGAGTGAAGCATCACGGTGCTCCAAATCCAGCGCCACAATATTGCAAATTTGGCTGGGCAATTTTCTTTCTTTTTTTCATATTTAACTTGAAAATTTGCGTCCCTTGAGGTGGTTTATGAGTGTTTCTTTGTAAGTTTTGTGTAGAGTGAGCAAAAAGTGAAGTGAAGAGAGATGAGGAGAATGTGAGAGAAAGATATGTGTACAAATTCTCTCAATTTTTATAGTAGATTTTTTTTATGTGATGTGACTCCATGATTTTTTTCCCTATTTTTTTTTTCACTTTAAATTATAGTGCTCTTTCTTCTTCGTTGCATTTTCTATTTCTTATTTGTCTTCGTCGCCTAATTTTACTTCTCCAACACAAACATTATATTATCTTCAAGAGGCATTGCAAGAGTCATAAATGGCTATTGTGCAATAAAATATTGTGTTGTTTGATGGTTGGATAATTCATTTTACCGACGATTTTATGAGTGTTATGAATTTCGTTGGTTAGTATGATGTAGGATGATATATAGCAACAATTAAAAGTGAAGGAGCATATATGCCATTATGATGATATATAGATTGGTTTTTTAGTGCATTCTTGAGAGAGAAACATGAGGATGAGGCTGAGGCTGAGTTTGAGTGGAGATGCATTTGGGCCGAGGAAATGGAGTAATTATTCCGTCAGGTTACCGAATGCATCCGGAAACCAATAACAAAACGCCACGTCACTAAAGTGCTCGGTACAGCGCGCTCAGTACACTTGCTATGCTCGATATTTCTCGGTATTTTCACCGGATGTAATAATTTTTCGAGGAAATGCCTATGAAGGGTCCTTTAAGGCAATACTATAATCAAGTACACTGATATTACACGTTGTCTATCAATATGAATCATGTTGGCATGTTTGATTGAGCAAATTAATTTCATTAATGTTTTGGAGGCTAATACTTGTTAGTAAATAAGTTGATTAAGGCTTCATTTGAGATGACTTTCTTATCGTTTCTTAAAGCAATTTTTTAGTTTAATTTTTAGGATTTAGTTACTAGAAAACTACTTTAAGAAGTAATAAGAAAATCATCCCAAACGAAGCCTAAATGTGATGCCAAAAAACATTAGTGAATCCCTAATTTGTTATATATGAGGTGCATGGGATTTATCAAATTTTTTATGTGTAAATTTTGATATATTATAGACATTTCATTCTAAATGTTTTATATGATTATCTTGGTATTTCACTCTATAATTTTGTATGTATGCATTTTATATAAAGTGATAAGGATAAAGACACGTAGAAATTGATTTGGGATTGTTACACCTGTAAAATCTAGTCTGATATAACATGCTTAATTGATTATATGCATTTGATCAAACATACATTGTGACATGATTTTTGTCATCCAATATATTTGAAATTCTTCAGATTTGACCGATTTTCAAATAAATTGTAAACTCGCCGCAATTGCCACCGTCATCCCCGACAACCATTAGCCACTCGTCAAACAATCCGTCAGCCATTACCAGCCACAACCTTCTTGCACTTAACATTGCATTCATTTTACTTCAAATAAAATAAAAAAAGCAATCTCATGCATTTATGTTACAAATCATCCAAGCAATTTTAAAATTTTCATTTTACAATGTATTCCCTTTTTTCATACAACCAAATAACCCCAAAGAAAATCCAATGTCGTTAAAAAAAAAAAAAAAACTTCCTGCTGCCACTCATGTGGAAGGAATGCCTCAAAGTTATTTTGTCAGCACTAATAAACAGAACCAACAATTACAATGCTATTTAACAAGATTGCACATCCCCGGATTCTTCCGACACCACAAAGGCTGAATCGGCTCCGCCTTAATCCCCCTCCACACCATCCTCTCCCTCCATCCATTCAACCTATCCGTCGCCTCCGCATGCCTTTTCCTACCTGTCTCATCCCTATTCCCCGACCACAATGCCTCCGCCATCGCCGCCGCTCTTGGCCAAACCCTCCCATCCAAAACCTCCCCATCCGCTTGCTCCGTCCACAGCGCCACCTCCCCTCCCAACACCAACCTCGCCTCCTCTTCCTCCTCAATCCCCTCCAAAATATCGTAGTCATATATCATCTGCCAAGTCTTGAACGGCCCGCACCACGACACGCCGCCGCTGCTATCGTTGCCAGGGAAGTCGCCGTGGCCGCAATCGAGGTAATAGAAATCCGAGGACGAGACAATGGAGCGGTATCCGGCGGAAACGATGAGTTTTGTGTTGTTCGGGCCGTTGTTCCATGTTTGGAGGATGGTGGTGGAAGGGGGGAGGAGGGAACCGGGGACATTGACTTCGGCGTTGAGGAGGACGTCTTCCCAGTAGATTGCGGTCCGATTTAGGGAGGTGATGAGGGGGTGACTGGAGTTGATGAAGGTGGAGAGGAGGGAGGAGAGGGTTTTGCCGGCGGCGAGGTAGGAGCGGATGGTGGGGTCGGTGGACCAGCAGGAAGGGGCGATTTCGTCGGCGCCGGCGTGGATGAAAGGATCAGGGAAGAGGGAGGCGAGGTCGGAGAATATGTGACGGAGAACGCGGTAGGTTTTGGGGTGGAGGGGGTTGAGTTGGCCGGTGCCGGGTTCGGAGGCAAGGCGAGTGGACCAGTTGTCTGGGCCGTCGGGTAGCCAGAACATGTTGGCACAAGTAACAATGTCGGGATGGGCTCCGGCCCATGAGCCAGCGTGGCCTATAAAGGAGAAAGGCATTGTTAGTAAAATTTTATATGTTTAATTAAAATAAAAATCTTTTTTGAAAGATTTAAACCACTTCAAACCTTCTTACTGCTTTCTATTGTAATTTTTTAGTAGAAAAATTTTTAATTTAAAATTTTTTTATATTAAAAAATAGTTTTAAAAAATAACAAAAAAATTATTCCAAACAAAATCTTAATTGCTTGGTGTCGTTGGGTTTGTATTTCCGAGACGCTCAGTTTGACTGTAAGCTCGCTGAAATCGGAGTTCATATGCTCCCGAAATTAATTTTTGAAGTTTCCAACTAGGTTTTTGCCTCGAGATTCGTGCCCGATCAAGATGATTTTGCGATGCCGTATCAAGTACCATAATTAAATTATTTTGATAAATTGATATTAAAAGAGATGAAAAAATGAGAGATAAAATTTATCAAATGTCTCGTTATGCTTAGTCTCAAAATAATGAAATTTACTTATCTAAATTCTGATAGAACAGATTATTTTAAAATTAATTTAATATCTTTACGATGCATATTGATTAAAATTTGATCAGAAGAGCCATTTTTTCGATTAAATAATAAATTATAAATACTAATTATTTAAAAAATCAAATGCAAGGAATATTGATATAGATCATAAATAAAAAAATTACCAGGAGAATCAATTTCAGGGACGATCCTGACACCATGATCCAAAGCAAACTCCACCAAATCCCTAACATCCTCCACCGAGTACCGCATCTCAGGACCATAGGCTCCTTTCTCCGCCAGCTCCGGCTCCGAAGGCAGCTCGATCGGGAAAGACTGGGCGTCCGTGATGTGCCAATGAAAGACATTCATCTTATTCGCCGCCATCGCACCAATCAATCTCTTCAAATCCCTAACAGGAAAATAGCTCCTCGACGTATCGAGCATCAAACCTCGATGCTCAAAAATCGGCTGATCGGCGATGAAGATATCGGCGACGATGACGGGAGGGTTGCCCCATGCGAGCTGGGAGAGGGTTTCGAGGGCACGGATGGCGCCCCAGGGGGTATCGGCGGAGATTAAAGCGAGGCCGGAGGTGGAGGAGATGGATAGGGTGTATGATTCGTTGGTGGAAGGGAGGAGAGGGGAGGAAGGGTGGGAGATGGAGAGGGAGAGGGAGAGGAGGGGGGAGGAGGGGGAGAGGGGAATGGAAGGGGGGACGAAGGGGATGAAGTGTTCGGAGAGGAGGAGGTGGGTGTGGCGGTTGATGGCGGAGAGGAGGTGGCGGCCGGGGGGGGGGTTGGGGGGGGGGGGGGAAGGGAGGGGGGGACGAAGGGGATGAAGTGTTCGGAGAGGAGGAGGTGGGTGTGGCGGTTGATGGCGGAGAGGAGGTGGCGGCCGGGGTGGAGATTGGGGGTGAGGATGTGGAAGGAGGGAGAGATGGGGATGGAGATGGGGTTGTGGAAGGAGACGCGGGTGGGGAGAGGCCAGAGAGGGAGAGGGAATGGGTGGGAGGTGGAGATTACAAGGGAAAAATGGAGGAAGAAGACGAAGGCGAGCAATGGACTGGCTGATTTTGGCATGGTGTTTGAAGCAGTAGGATACTATTCGTTGGAGGAAGAAGGAATTTGGCGGGTATATTTATAGTAATGGAAGGAGAATTTATTAGGTATAGATAATATATGTAATTTTATTTGTAAATAATTTGAGCTCAAAATTATTTATTGTGTGTGAAAATAAATATGTATTTATTTGTATTTATTAATTTTTAATCTTTAGGAAATAAAATATTTATTTATGTGTGAATAAGTTGAGCCATTAATTATGTGATTTACGTAGTAAATAATCAGAGCAACAAAATATAATTTATTATTTAAATTCTTATTTAAAAATAATTAATATACAAAAAATATTTAATTGCCAACTAAAAGAAAGCACTTTAACTTCACACATTTTCCGAATTAATCAAATAGGGAAAAATGATATACATATTCATAATTCTCTTTTGAACGTTGATACTTGTTCCGCTTCGATTTATTATTAGGTAAAAATAATTTGAATTTGAACTTGACTAGACCCAAAGCTCACCTATCGACTCATTTTATTATAATAGATAGTCACATTTAGATCAACAAGACTCACTTTAGCAAACAAATACGATCCGTTAAATCTTAAAAATAACTTATTTAATCATGCCCAACTCATTTAATTAAATCCATATAATTATTGAAATTATTTTCAAATTAATTTCAATTTATTGGTTAATCTAAATTGACTTCTCAAAATCAAATTTTATAAAGACTGAAAATAATTCAACCAAATAATAATTTTTACAACTTGAAACCATGTTTTTTTAGTCGTGTTTCGATGAATTTGCTAGATTAGGTCATTTTATTGATACCCTTATTTTAAATTAGTTTCACCATTCAATGTTTGTCGAACTTCAATTCAATCCTCAAAAAATTATTTCAAACCTATTTTAAGAGTATAATTTGTTAATATATTAAGGACCCATGCATTAAAAATAATTGAAAGAAAAAATTAAGTATCCCATCATGGACGCATTAGTGATAGTACATGGAGAACACCACCTATGATCCAAATTAGAAAAATTTAGTTAATAAAGATTGCAACCTTTGTTTAAGAAAATCCTCATACCCTCTAATCCAAATTCTAACAACTGACATCACTAAGCTAAGTCTTATTGTGACCTAAGTGTATTGAACTTATAACATAGCCCAAACTAACTTGATCAAATGCTTAAGCCTAATTTTGATTGATGATTATATTTGTTTTAATCTAAACACAAAAGGTTTGGCTACCTCTAATCTCATAATTAAATTAGTTATTATCAAATATAATTATGCTAACGCGAATCAAGTATTTTCTTATAATAATTTAGGAAATGTTAGCCTAACAATCAAATGCTCTTAGAAATTGTGACCCCTTATTTTTGTTGATTATAATTTATACAATTTCCGAAACATGAGAGTGAATGGTTCAATAATTGAAAAAAAAAAAAAAAAAAAAAAAGAAAATTGAAGATCATTCTCAATGCCCTCGACATATCTATCTTCTCTAAGCTATAATTTTAAGGAGGATTGAAGCCTTAGATGTGCATACGTCAAAAAAGAATTTTTTTTTTATGTAAAGTATTTTTTTCTTTTTTTGGGTGAGATTCTTATAATTTTTTTCTTCTGGGAAAAACTAAAAAATTAGAAAAAATATTACATGAGTCTGTTCTTTATATATTATATATTATTGAATAATATTTTTATCATTATACTCCCTTTTTTTATACGTAATTAAAATCGAAATTATTATACAACTTGATGTACGTTGATATATATTAATATATATATATATATATATATATATATATATATATATTATATATTATTGTATTGGATTTGTGGGATTATTTCCTCATTTCCGCATAAAATTTGCACGGAAATGATGCTCCTCGTTAACAATATTTTATTTATTCATTTTTGTCGTGACCCTCACCAAGCTTACAAGCTGTCATTTTTCTTTCTAATGGGAATAGGATGATCTCTTTGGTGCCATTGTGCTTCTGGCGCTACCTTTCAAATTTTCATTTTGTTTAATCAGTTAAAAACTAAAAAAACCTTTATTATATATTATATATATATATATATATATATATATATATATATATATATAAGCTGGACTTAGGATTAGAGAGATTTTAGGTGAATAGTTTGGACCGAAGTTACATTCAGTTTTTTCTGTTTTTTTGAGAGTGTTGCTCCAGCAAAAGCACATTTAAAACGCATCGGTGTGATTGGTGAAGTTAGTAAACGTATAGCTTTTTATGCACACTTCATAAATCGGACGGTTCTCCGATCCGAAACTCCGTAATTAATAGTACCTCTTTTGATTTGCACCTCTTCTGTTTCTTTCTCACTGCTTACCTATTGGAATATCACGAGTCTGGAGAAAATAGGAAAGTAACATCTCACAGGGCAGCCAAGGGGAAAATTATATATATACTATATATATATATATATATATTATATATTATATATATATAATTTGTTAATCTAGACGGCGAGGAAGGGGGAGAGGACCTTATGAGAGAATTTGTATTTATGTCCGGTATCCTGACGTTAGTTTGTACCCGTCGAACGCGAGTAAAATGGTAATGCAACGTGCTCTTACTCTTTAGACCACGCTGCCCGACAAGCCCGACCTGGATCGAACCCGGGATTGCTTATGTTATTGATTGATTTTGCAGACCGTGGTATTGCTAGGGTATTGCTCGATATTGCTTAGGCAATAACGAGAAAATATCATTATGTCAAAAGACCCAATACATAGCAATACCCGATATTGCTTAAGATATTGCTCTTGACCAGAGCGATATTTCTCGTTATTTGTCAACAATACCTAACAATACCTAGCATACGAGCAATACCGAACAATACACAAAATAGCAACAATCAAGTTCCGGTCCGAGTCGGATCGTCGAGGCCGCGCAGTAAAAAATAAGAGCATATGGACAACATGTTATTGGCCTCCGATATAGGAAGCTATGTCCTATATCGGACCTAAATAATTGTTCCTTTTATGGAAAGCTTGCCGAGAATATATCAAATTTGGTGTGTGAGTAAAAGGAGAGTTGAATTAAGGTTTCAAAGCTTGCCTCACTTTTATTTCTTCGCGGGGATTTGGTCTATTCTGGGTTTAGTTAGACTGTTTTGGCTTAGAAAAACTGTTTCTGCTTTTCTTTTGTCTTTCTACATCCTCATTTGTGTTATTAAAAGTATGGTGACGA